CCCGCGGCTTCTTCTGAGTCCCGCAGACTGACGACGACTGCCGATCCGCGGCGCCCCCCCGCGCTGTGGCGATGTCCGCCGTCCGCGCCGCAGCGCCGGCTCTGGGAGGCGCTTCGCCGTGGCGTGCCGCGGCGCACCGAGGGTGACCCAGAATCCGAGGCTCGACCAAAAAATTGAGCGACCCGTATTTTGGGGCAGGTCCGACCCCGCGGGGCTTTTCTAACGGGCCCCAGGACCGTCAAACAATGACTCGGGACGAGAAGCTGGTCCTAGAGAAATCGTCCTGGCCCCCAGGGGCCCACGCATCCAACAAGAGTGACGCGCCGGACGTCTGGGAACAAGAGAGGCGTGTTGGGTGGGCCAGAGGGTGGCGCAGAGGAGCGGCGCTGCGTGGTGCCGTGCCGTGCCGTGTCCTGTCGTGCTTTGTGCTTGGGGGTCAATGGCGCGATCTGGCGGGCCGGGGGTGCCGCGCAGTGCCGTGCCGTGCCGTGGTGTGCTCTTCGTGGGCCGCGCCGGTGCGCAGCTGTGGTGCGTCGAGGCGCCCCAGACGACGACGCTGACGCCGACGCCGACGCCGACGCCGACGCCGACGCCGACGCCGACGCCGACGCCGACGCCGACGCCGACGCCGACGACGACGACGACGACGACGACGACGACGACGACGACGACGACGACGCTGCGACGACGACGACGACGACGACGACGACGACGACGACGACGACGACGACGACGACGACGACGACGACGACGACGACGACGACGACGGGACGGTGGGCCGCTCGCCGCAAGCGCTCTTGTGGAGGAGGGGCTCCTTGCCGTGCCGTGTTGCGGGGTCGCGCCGTGCGTGTGCAGTCGGGGGAGCCGGGCACGGGTGCTGCGCTTGGCCGTGGTGCTGTGCAGAGCCGCGTGTCACCACCCACCAAACCACCCCAACCCAACCCGAAGGCTCAGATTTACCCTCGATTTCCAGTGTGGGGGGGTCGGGAAACATCGAAAAAACACATGTGGAACCCTTACCCCCCCCAACCCGAAATTCGGGTCTTCGGGTTGGGTTGGGGTGGTCTGGTAGGTAGTCAGTGTGGTGTTTTGGAGGCCTGGAAAGTGGCACCAGCACCAACACAAGGGGTTGCCTCCACCGGGGGAGGATGATCCCAGATCTCGGCGCTGGTGGTAATCTTTCGGTCACCTTGGCAGCCAGAATATGACCACCATCGTCGAGATCCGAAAGAGCGTGTTCTACCGCTGCTGGCGGAAAACCGGGGGGGGGGTCACTACCGGTTCGAACCCCTCCCCCCCCCCCTCCGGAAAACAGGGGGGGGTCACTACCGGTTCGTTCGAACCCCTCCCCCCCCCCTTCATCATGAAAAGGGGGGGGGTCACTACCGGTTCGAACCCCCCCCCCCCCTCCCCGTCGAAAACCGGGGGGGGTCACTACCGGTTCGAACCCCCCCCCACCCTCCCCCCCCTCGAAAACCGAGGGGGGGGATGCGGACAGTGGTGGAGACGGTGGTGATGGGGACAGTGGTGAGGGGACAGCGGGACAGTGGTGGGGACAGTGGCACAGTGTGGTGGGGACGGTAGTGGTGGGGACAGTGGTGAGGACAATGGTGGGAACAGTAGGGACATGGGACAGTGGTGGGGACGGTGGTGGTGGGGACAGTGGTGTGGGGACAGTGGGAATGAGGTGGAAACAGTGGGACAGTAGAGGGTACAGTGGTGGGGACAGTGGTGAAGGCGGTGGCGAGGACGGCGGTGGGACAATGGGACAGAGGTACAGTGGGGACAGTGGTGCGAACAGTGGGGACAGTGGTGGGAACAGTGGGACAGCTTAGTGGGACAGCGGAGGAGTCAGTGGGACAGTGGGGACAGTGGGGATAGTCGGGCAGTGGTTGGGGCCGTGGAGAAAGTGGGGAGAGTGGAACCCTGGTGGGAACAGTGGTGGGGACAGTGGGGACAGTGTGACAGTGATGGGGGGCACTGGTGGGGAGAGTAGGGACGGTGGTGGAGCCAGTGGGGACAGTGGTGGTGAGGACAGTGGTGCTGGGAACAACAGTGGGGGATGTGGTGCGGACGGTGGTAGGGACCGGGAGTCGTTTGCTGGCGGTGAGTGGGGGAGGGTGGGGAGGGGTTCGAACCGGTAGTGACCCCCCCTCCGGTTTTCGAGTGGGGGGGGGGGTTCGAACCGGTAGTGACCCCCCCGGTTTTCGAGGGGGGGTTTTGCCAGGGGAGGAGGAAGGGGGGGGGGGGAGGGGTTCCAGCAGGGGGGCGGGATTTTCGGAGGGGGGGGGGGGAGACCCCCGGGCTCCGGAGGAAAAGTGCGGCAATTTTCCACAGTAAAGCGGCGGTGGATCACGCTCTCTCCGAGATCGGGATCTGTTTCCCTCGGTGCAGGCACACCGCCCACATCGGTGTTGGAGTCAATCTCTAGGCCTGCGAGTGTTGTGCCGCCGTGCCGCGCAGTGCCTTGGCACACTGCAGGTCCAGACCTCAGGTCCGG